ATCCTAACTAATCAGTTAGTTAAACTTCAAGCATGTCTTAAAGACATATACAGTATACGATGATGATTCTTAATTGTATCCCGAACTACCCAGGTCTTTGGCCTTTAGTCTTCCACTAAGGAACATTGAAATTATTTTGGACCACTACTTTTATAAGCAAATCATGTCATTCACATACACAATACCTTCTTTCGGCTATGTAGTATCTCTAAAATGAGATACTTCAGGGTTGGTCTACTGTAATTATTTATTGTTGGGTTGTCCCAAACATTTTCTGAAAAGTTTCCAACTGATTCAAAATGCTACAGCCAGAGTTTTCCAGAAAATTATAAATGGAGATCATATTTATTCATTTTTTGCTTCTTTTTATTGGCTCCCAGTTAAATTAAGATCAGAATTTAAAATTCTGTTCCTCTCTAATGACCAAATTACATAAAATCTTAAAGAGCTTAAAATAAGGTATTTTTTACTTTGGAGCACATTTCTCTCGGGCTGCAGGTCTACTTGTGGTGTCTAAATATACAGTGTGAGGCAGGTTCCTCTCTTGTGCAACTACCAACCAATATATGTCCGGTAACTCTACTTTGAAGATTAGGATTAAAACTTTTTCTTTTGATAAAATTCATAGCTACATATGGCCCATGGGACGGGCTAAACTGCCGGGGACCTCCCTTTTCTTTACTTTGTTTCACCTTTTTTTTGTTCATGTACATGAGTCGTTATCCTAATTAACTTGTGTTTCATTGTCTCCTCTGTATCCCTAGGTTGGGCTGTTGTTGTATTGGTTGCCACTCCTTCCTGTTGCCTCAACTGGGCATGGCACCTTTCCTTGGTGTGATTCTGTCAGAGGTTTCTTCCTGATAAAGGGGTTTTTTCTTCCCACAGTCACCTCTGGCATGCTCAGGATGGGAGATAGGATTGGAAAATAACATTTGATAGATTCTACTATTTTGGCTATGGCTCTGTATGAATTTGATACTTTTGGAATGTAATTAACTTGAACAAACAGATTTTGATTTTATCACAATAAATTGGATTCTGATTGGCTTATTGTCATTTTGAAGTGCCTTAGAGATGACATTTGTTGAGATTTGGCACTATATAGTTAAAACTGAGTTGAATTGAATTGATACAATCTCGCTGCTCAGATAATCATGGCATCTGCTGTCTGATTTCTCTTGTCTCATATCATGATACAGATATTACATTTAAATAAATAGACATTTTTTCTGGTTGGTCATGCCAGTAACTTGTTAATAAGGCCTAGTACTTAATCAGTATCAAACAGTTTCTTTGTGAAAGCATGCAATACATACATTTTGTAGTATTTATGTGATTTTATCTGTAGCCATACAGCAGGTGAATTAAGGTGACATGAATGTTTCAATGCAGAAATAATATACAGAAGAACAAGACTATTTGAAATAAACAACAAAGCAGATATATAGGGACTTTGAAACCCATGCAAAATACAGTGGAACAGCACGACATATAAATATCAGCATTTTGTTCAACTCCTCTCTCCATTTTCGTTCCATCCAGTACAAATCTGTGCATTTACGTTGTATAGTTATTTTACTTTCATAACAGATTGAAGTAAATGTATCCTCACTGCAGCAGGTAATGTGTTAAGATTAATCTTGTCATTACAAACTACAAATCATCAATTGTTTGTAGCCTCTGTGGGTATTTTTAAATGATGCTAAGGAGTTCAGTCTAAAAGAAGCAACAATAAATGTGATTAAGTGCCTGATGTGTATCTGATGTGTGAGGCAACTCTGTAGACAACAGGTCATAAAACTTTTAGTGGGCACAGGCTTATTAAAGACTTGAAAAAGTAAGTGTAACAGTGAAAACCTGCTCAGTATTCACCCCCCCCTTCTGCCTGTGCGGTGGTGCCAGAAATCGGCAGGGCTGAGATTTCTGAAAGCTCAGCTAAACAAACAATAAATGTCTTAACATGAGATTAGTTGTTGCTTCTTGAGCTTGACTACAAAGATTTCCTACACTGTTAGTGTGTCTTCCCTTCAGACATATAGGCAGCCCACAACATGTGCACGTGATGCCCCCTCCTCACATCAAACCATATTTTTCGATTTCTGATGTCAATATTGATGCTCAAACGAACATTTCTGATGCATTTGTTCGAAAATCATAAGCACACATTGACAGTGAAGGGGAAACTCACCTGTGGTAAAGTTGAGAAATGTCTTTGGTTAAAATTGACATGTGGAATGTGAAGTTGGTTTCAAATGCTGCCAAGCAAATAAACAAGAAACATATTTCAGTAGCAAGACTAGATTTAGAGCATTTTCCCACCCAGAATAAAAAAAAAATTCTAAAAACTGCACAAAGCCAAGCTTCTGTCCACATAAATGTAGACTGAAATCATCTGGTGGCTAACCACAATCAAACTGTGTTATTTAGGGCTTTGAAAACTCACCTCTTTCCAACTAGGCATGCCCGACACAGTTTATTAAGCTTTTTTGTCCACAGAAGCACAGCAAGAGCACACATACCTGTGGACACACTTCTGCACATAGTTGATAATGATAGGTATCAAAGGTAGTATAATAACACAAAATCTAAGAATCACACACATTATATAAATGTGTCAGATAACGTTTACACTTGCATTATGTTCATTATTACTGTCAGAAATGATGTACACATGCAATTAAACTCTTCAAAAGAGTTTAATTTTCTGCTAAAATACCACATTTTCTGCTAGCTGATAGGAGAAACAGGAAAGTCAAGAGTCAGCTTTTACAGTTTTTTTTAACATATTTGATGTTTTATTCACTTTGTCATAGAAAAATCAGCCTTTCAGGTCTTTTGTGCCTCTATACCCTAAGCAACAACTGTCCTCCAGAACCTTTTAATGCAATATATATTTACATAAACATGTTAACTTAATCTTAACATTGTATATTAAACATAATACCGTACGTATTTCATATATTCAAATGAGCCATGCCCTATACTGTCATACAGGCATTCTTTGGAAAATAAATCTGTGAAAGCTTGAAGAGGAGGAGCTGTTTATCGATAGGGACATCTACAGAAGCATAAAAATTTGTTTGATTAAAAAAAAAACCTGTCTAATTTAAGCTGAGTGGTAATTGATTTGTTTTAATGTGGCGCCCTCTTGTGTATAAAAAGTATTGAAAGAAAAGAATGTGTGATACAATGAGGTGTTCAGAAAACCAGCTTTCCTTTTGAAGAGATTTTTATGTTTTTCCTCATGAATTCTATGTCATACATGAGTGTTTTCCGGGATTTCCCTTCATGAATTTACACCAGGAATGAAATTGTGGGTGTATTGTTTCAGACATGCATGTTTTTGATGTGTACTTATTGCCTCACAGGCCTGGTATTCAACCAGAGCTGATATGAAAAGGTGAAAATTAGTGCATGGAAATTTTCACACAGATTATGAAAAGTGTAAAGGCATGTAGGATTATGGGAAAAAAAAACAAAAACAAAGCAATGTCTAAGTGTATAATTTTTTTAAACTTGTGAATTTTTTTTTTTAATTCAAACAATTCACAAACACGGTGAAAGAGGACCGGCTTATGCTCCGGTCACTGAATCATAAACCGGACTGACCGCTGAGTTCAGTTTAAGCTCAAAGCTGTGAGGAAACAGCAGGAATTGGAACAGGTCTGTGGAAAGAAGTCAAAAGAAACGTTTTCACCGGGTCTGCATGTGTTAATAATTAATTCAGTTTTACTCTCAGTCACGGTTCAGTGCAGATCAGACCAGAACTGTCCGTCCAGAGGTCAGCTCTACATTACCTTCCATTCTAATGGATGCGGTCCAATAGTAGAAACATGGATCTACTCAGGCATTTTGGATGTAATTTAAAATTTCATATCTCGTGGTATATTTCTTACTTCTTACTGATAAGACTCAAACCAAAAATACACCACGCTGTCTGTGTTAATCTGAAAATGGAGAGCATAACTTTGTGACTTACAGACTTTGATCTCGCTATCGTCTGACCTTTCATGACACGAGAGAAAACAACAGGCTTATCACCTCTCATATCAGTTTGTGTCTTATATTTTTCAGCTTTTGTGAACTACTAATAGGAATTATGGCGTTACATCATCAGGTTTTTTACTGATGAACCAAGTAAATAAATTTGACCTCTTAGTCCTCATTAATATGTTCATTTTAATGCGGCCTTGTCAACTAATTTTCAACTAATAATATATTATTTTGATCAAACATAATATCAAGTTTTCAATGCAAACTAAAAATCAGTAGCAGCGATGAGGGGAGGTTTCGAACCTTGCGAAAAGAAACCTTGCTTCTGTGTAAACAGATTAGCAAAGAGGTTAGGTAACTGCTCTTAAACTTATAAAGCCACTTTGAGCTTTTGATTGAACTGGTGTGAGGCTGTCCTGCTGCATTGTGAAATCAATGTTCATGTCTCACAGCAGGGACCAAAACAAGCACTTATTTAGTTTGACTTAACCCTTTAAAGCCTGATGCAAGGAATGTAAATAGAGAAAAATATAATAATTTTTAATAAGTCTTTATTTGGGCATTTAACAAAATAGGGGAACAAAACGGAAATTATTATTTATTACTGTGCTATAAGTCAAAATCACTGTTCTGTTGTCAAGTCTAGTGAAATATATGGAATATTTCAGCACAAAACATACAAAATAACTGTTGTCTCAGAGTAAAAAGTGTGTTTTTCTTAACAAATGAAAGTGACTATGCCAAATAACTGCTCGTTTTATGTTGACTTCCTACACGAAATGCCTAAAACACTCTATCCGTGTGGATATTGGTCTCTCTCCACCAGTAAAACTGTCGTAAACTGCGGGAACACTCCGTTCCAGCGGAATATTGTGCAGATTTTTTGCTGGTTTACTTCTTCTGGGGTGATTAGGCCGGTTTGAAGACTCTGCCCGCTGATTGGCTGCCGCGGCAGGCTGGACGTCCCGCCTCGTCCAATCCGCGCGCTGTGTGAGTGTTATGTAACTGGGCAGCCTGCTGAGGGAGAGAAATTAAAGTAAGTTTCAGAGTCCGAGTTCTCTTTCCTGGGACCGGAGTCTGTGGGTCTGCGGCAGCCGGTAAGCCTTGGAGTCAGAATCCCTGCATGTTGCACTCTGTTTAAAAAAATAATGGAGTCTACAGCCACACAAAAATTTTATTTTTTAATTAATTTTTTTTTTTACTGTAAATCTCTCTGTATCCTTTAAAGGCTTGGCATTACATGAGGAAGTAAGTTAGGTTAGCTAAAATGAATGCAGCTTTTATCTGAATTGTTTTGGGCCATCTTTCTGAACACTGGTTCTCCCTCATGTTTTTCTTCTTTTTTTGTTTTTTTAACCCTGATTGGTCAGATCCAGAGGCTTGAACAGAGATGAGGGGTGTGACTGACTTGGGCAGATTGCCAGAAAAACTTTGAATATTTGAAGTTAGTCTTTATCAGAGCTGTGCATTATGCTGCTGGCATGTCTTTGTGACCATTTTCTGCTTTTTAAGTCAACATCACAGACATGAATAGCAGAATTTGTTATCACTTTAAATAGGAGTCTTCTTGGATTTTTATTTGTGTATTTTACCTCTGCAAACCCATTGGAAAATACTACCGTCCCCGTCATACTGACAGCATGCAGTTTATTAGTTGATTATAGCAATTACTAGTACAATTTTGCCGTAATCCCAATTACCAGGGTTATAATGGTCAGTTTTGTTCCACGCTACTGGCAAGGAACATTATGACCTCCATTCTTCCATAAACGTATTAGATGTGGCGTGGTGCGTCTAATACACTGACTTCTGGGTGTACGTTTTATTGTTCAGCTACCTAAGGTACATCCTATTGAAACATGTATCTTACCAGGTCTCAGAATGACATAACAAAGCATCGGATTAATAAAACTATATGAAAAAAAACATGACAAGACTGTCTCCACATTATTGGGAATGGTCCTGTAACTCTTTTCAGTAAAACATTCTCTAAGTTCTTGACTGATATCTCTCCTGCTCGACATTGTGTCAACACAAACTCACAAACTCCAGACCAAAGTACCAACATTTTACCGATGTGTTATTAGATGTTGATGATGATCCATAATGCCGGTTCAGTTCATTCATTAAATCAGTCAGGATTGATTTGCTCTTTGGATCTTACAACATTTCTGTTTATAGCACAAATTAGCAATTGACAAGGACTCAAGTTAATCATTTCCATCATTATTATTAAGCTGTCAATTTTCTTTCCTCAATTTTTTTCACAGGTTGATTTTTAAATATATTGTTCTTTTTATTTTGATATACTAGATCTGTGTTATCTAATTTTTTAACAACAAAAACAAAACCCCTTAAATAATAGTTTTCTCTTGGGACAGAGAAAAAATTGATCATTTATACAGATAAACACAGACAAACATTAACTTGTAAAGTTTATGCCAGCTATTTGAATGGACGTTTATAAAGTAAGCAGCTTGTTAATGAGATAGATTCATTAGAATGAAAACTACATTTCCTTTCCCTTGGAATTGATTAGCTCTGTGACATTATAAAATGCTGTAATTCCAAACCAAACTACCAGGATTATTCACATGATAAGTCAGTTCATTTTAATAATCTGTTTATGTAATCACATCTATGAAACCCTGTGTGATTTCTTACATGAACAATTACAGTTTACAGTTTAAGTTTAGCGTGTGTTTCTCCCTCTTCAGTAAACAACCAGGTGTGAAGATGAAGATTGCAGTGATTGGTCAGAGCCTGTTTGGCCAGGAGGTGTACAAGGAGTTGAGAAAGGACGGTCACACAGTTGTAGGAGTGTTCACAATACCGGACAAGGATGGAAAGGCGGACCCACTGGGTAAGAGACACATGTACTTTGCACTTCTGTGCTCGTGTTTTTCTATTAAGGTACACAAATTAAAGTAAAAAATGTCATTTACCAGAACAAAAAAATTTAATAAAGCAAAAAAGCAATGATTTACATTCTCAACTTACATTTTTTAGACTATGATAACGTTTAACACAACATATACAATTCGATTTAATGTTCAAACTGATAAACTTCATTGTTTGTATGGAAATATTAACTCCTTTTGAATTTAATGCTCTCAACACATTCCAAAATTGCTGAGGCAGATTTATGTTAACCCTTATGTTGCATTGCAAGTGTTTCATATTTTTGTGTAAATGAAGTCATACAACCAGAAAGAACTGGAAAGAATTTTAACAATTGGTGTCCTCAGTTCCTAAATGCTTGTTGCCTAGCATAAAGCAGAATAGACTAAATAAAACCAGCTCTAATTCCCCTCTCAGAAACATGACACAGGTTCGTAGCTTCTCACTTTCTTTCAGGTATTCCACATCTCCTGTTTTCTTCCTCTCTGCAGCCACAGAAGCGGAGAAAGACGGAGTGCCTGTCTTCAAGTTCCCGCGCTGGCGGGTGAAGGGCCAGGCCATCCCGGAGGTGGTGGCTCAGTACCAGAGCACGGGCGCAGAGCTCAACGTCCTGCCCTTCTGCTCCCAGTTCATCCCCATGGAGGTCATCAACCACCCCAGCCACGGCTCCATCATCTACCACCCATCCCTGCTCCCCCGCCACAGAGGGGCCTCCGCCATCAACTGGTGGGTCAACTCCGTTTGGGTCACTGAGGGCTTTTGGAGATGAGTCAGTTATCAGATCCGGGTCATTTGACCTGGAGAGTTCTTTGTGGTTCACAGGACGCTTATTCACGGTGATAAAAAGGGCGGTTTCACTGTTTTCTGGGCTGATGATGGATTGGACACGGGACCCATCCTGCTGCAGAGGGAGTGTGATGTGGAACCCAACGACACCGTCAACACAATCTACAAGAGGTTTCTGTTTCCAGAGGGAGTCAAAGGAACAGTGAGTGATAAACAGATGCAGCAGGGTTCAGAAAACATTCTACCATAGCTATTTAAAAGAACCTTTTCTCTTTAAATAATGAGAAAAGACAAAAATGTTTTCCAGTACTTCAACGATTAGTATCCAGTATTTAAAGATGATAACTAATACATATTAAAGAGAATCAAGCATTTGTGAAGGTTGAAGGAAAACTAGTTGCAAACAATCTGTGAACCTCTTCTCTCACATCAACTGACTTAATCTAAGTTTCCATAGTTTCCAATTGACCATCAGTTTAAATTTCTGTTGTCAGAATCCGGTGTCAAGCATGGAAACCTACCGGGATAGTTCAGTCCAGAGAGTTAGCACGACAGTTGTTTTTCTTCATTTTCTTCATTCTTCTGGGTTCCAGGTGGAAGCTGTGAGGCTGATTGCAGAGGGGAAGGCCCCAAGAATCACACAGCCACTGGAGGGTGCCACGTACGAGTGCATTCAAAAGAAAGACAATTCTAAGGTAAATACCAGAATCCTGATGTCCGTTTGTTGTAAAGTTGATGATAATTAATCCCCGAATGATAATGATAAAAAACAAGAATATGTAGCTAGTGTAAAGTTTAGTTTGGTTCAATTCAATTCTCTTTGGTTCACATGAATGGAAAAAAAATATTATTACTGTATGTTGGGTTCTTTTTCTCAGGTTTTACAGTAAGAACATTATGTGATCCTCTTTTAAAAACAAGGTACAGTGTTTGATTTGTTCTTGTTACATCTCACATGCTTAAAAAAAAGATTTTTCTTGATGGCAGATCGACTGGAACCAGTCTGCTGAGGCCATCCACAACTGGATTCGAGGAAACGACAAAGTGCCCGGGGCCTGGGCAGAGGTGGACGGACAGGTATTCTTTCTAGGCTGGTCCCGGTCCGATATCTGGATCGGATCGGCCGCCGATATTTACAAAAACCTGCATATCGGCCGGCAGGAGGAAATGCCGAACCAGACTCACGATCCAGTTTTTTTTTTAAGTCCGGTCCCACATGAGCATTAGCATTAGCATTAGCATCTGTAACCCACAGGTCTGTGTCCTAACCATTAAGTTATCAGAGTAAATCCCTGTTCAACGTGAGTCTGACAACTAAGTAAGTAGATAAATAACTTTAAACTTGAATACATGCTCTGATCTGGACATCCCTCAGTGATATCACCCATATATCCTAGAGTGACACCATAGAAAAGACAACACTATGTTTTTATGGTTAATGACCTGGTCATGAAAATGTGGAAAAAGTTGCCACATTCAGTTATCGTTATCGTTTGTGTTTCTTCAGAAAGTGACTTTCTACGGCTCATCCCTGGTGGACAGTCCCGCAGCAGCTGCTGGTCAGCCCCTGGACATCCCTGGAGCCAGTCGACCGGGCATCGTCACCAAGGCTGGTCTGGTGCTGTTTGGCAACGACGAAAAGGCGGTAAGTTATCCCAAAAACAATTTGAACGGACCCAATTCTTCTAGATTAAAAACAAAAGCCGAAAGAACAAAATAATTTAAGACTAATGGGATTGAGTAACAAACTACAATTTAATTGAATCCTGAAATTAATTTGTATCTGGAGGTCCCATAGGTAACAGCACATATCTGATCAAATTAATAGGGCTTTTTTCAGTGACCTAAAGGGTTAACATTTCAAAATAAATACTTCTCAAATGCATTTTTCCCTATTACAGCTAAGCAAAAAGGCTGTTGGTATTATTTTATTAGTGCAGTTCATTAGTAAATGTGTGTGATTCCCTTCTGAGACTTATGTGACTGTCCCAATGGTCTCCTAAAACTCACTGTCCCTTATTTCCACTGGCCTTCATATAGTCTATGTACATTTGAAAACATCATAAAATACCAACATGCTCAGGTGCTAACTTTTTAAACAGAAGTTTGCGTCAAACATTATTGTCATTATTATGGGACTGAGCCGTGGTTTTACTTTAGACAAATCCAGACAACCAATGTAAATTGGAGTCAAATGTATTTCTAAACTCAAACAATTCATGACCAATTCCACACATTTAGTGCTTCAATTAAACATATCAAGCCCTGTTCTCTCTCAGATGTCAGACGCTAACCAGCATGCACTGTTAACAGCGTTTTCTCTAGCAACTGTTTGGCCGGACTCCGACTCCTCAAACAAGACACCACAAATTCTTCACAAGTGTCTCTTTATTTGCATCTGTTCAGTAAATCCTTTGGCCCAGCTCTCATATGTTTCAGACCTCCCCTCTTTATGTTAGGCTGAAATCTATTTCTTCCCATGTGGCCACATAAAGGATTCCCTCCAGTGTGAGGGTTCTGTCATACTGTTGGTGCTTTCAGCTTAAGCAATAAATTTAGCAGCTGTCTTTCCCAATTTTTGGTAAGTTTGTACGCCCTGGCTAGATACTTCTGTTTTCTGATTATGTAAATTCAAAACTTAATGCATATCTGCCGTCTAGCAATTACTATCTATACTGAAACTTGCAGATAGCAGCATGATAATGGGGGCCAAGACAACATGCTAAAGCCTTAAGATAAACCCCAATGGAGAACATTTAAAGGGAGGGCTGTGCACTTTAGGTGCCAAATCAACTTGTGCAAATATGACTGAGACAGAAAGAAACAGCCCCTAAAGAGAAAAACTGGGAAATGAACTTAAATCAGGTCCCGCCTTTGAAAGTTTCTGTAAAGTTTAAAAAAAATTATTGTTTTTTGTTACATACTTGCAATAAGCGGGTATATAAAATTGATAGATATAATTATGATAAAAGACTTGACAAAAAAGTTACAAATAGCTAAATTTTGTATCTTTTGCAGGTTCAGTTTGAAGCATGTTTCTGGCTGATACACAGACTAGCGTTATCTAGTGTCTTTATGTCTTATTTTAGGATTAAAGTGGTGTAACTTTACCATTCTCTCTGCAGCTGCTGGTGAAAAATCTGCAGTTTGAAGATGGGAAGATGATCTCTGCAGCACAGTACTTCCACTCTGGTGGCAGTGCTGCTGTGGAGCTGACGGAGGAGGAAAAGAACTTTGCTGTGCAAATGAAGGCAGGATTACTCTCAGACGTTTGGGGAAAAACTAAAACAATTGGTATCAGAATGTATTCAACTCTAGCTTTTCATGCTGTGCTTATCATCCATGTGACTTTTTCCAGGCAGTGTGGAAGAGCATCCTGACCAATGTTGACCAGGTTGAAGATTCAACAGATTTCTTTAAATCTGGTGCTGCTTCAATGGACGTGGTCAGGTAATAGGAAATGTAGTTTGATTATTTACACAGTTAGCGTCAGTCACTTTGGATAAAAGCGTGACACAAAGTTAAAAAAAATAAGTGGTCATCAAAGCAGTGAGATAAAACCTGAAAATTTGTTTCAAGAAACAGAATATTGGTATCTTACCAGCAATAAAATGTATCAACTCGAACATTTTATTTGGATTTATTATGAATGAATTATTGCTTTTTGAGATTTACACATTATCACATTTGATTTTATGTAATATTTTACGCAGCATTCCGACTTTCTGGAGCAACTACAGTGTTGTATAAGTTTCAAAGATAACTTTGCAAAGTGGGTTTATTTATTAACAAAATTAAGATCTCAAAACAGAAATGATCATTCATGTTAAATATTACATTACGAATAGAAAAGACTGTATGCACATTTTAAAAAGGATAGGTGTTAGTTGATTAAGAGATTTATTCATGAGCACTATCATTTCAAGATGTTCTTGCTTTCATAAGGACCATCCAAAAGATTACCACTGATGTTTTCGGGGCAAAAACAGTTCAGCGTGCCTCCACTGGCTTTTTTGTTGCTATTTTCTTTCATTTTCCCTGTCATAAATGAAGATTTAGATTTCAGGCTCTTATGAATTTAGCAGTGGCAGTTGGCCACACCAATAAGTTTGCTTTAAATAACATGAGGCATATGACTCCCAATTAAATTTTATTAAATGTCAGTAAGAAAACCCTTGTTTTTATTAAGGTGATTGACATTGGCATCTCCTTTTATTTGAATTTTTACAAACGGCTGCTTTTTTTGTCCAGGCTTGTGGAAGAGGTGAAGCTTCGGGCCAGCACCTGCCAGCTGCAAAACGAGGACGTCTACATGAACACCACCTTTCAGGATTTCATCCAGATGTGTGTGCGGAGGCTCAGAGGGGAGAGTGATGAGGAGGAGCTCGTCGTTGATTACGTAAATGCTTGATTTGGTGGTTGTTGCTGGTATTAATAGCAGAGAGAGAGTTGTCACGTTACTGTGTGCATCATTGTGCTCCTCAGGTGGAGAAGAACATCAACAACATGACCGTGAAGATGCCTCATCAGCTTTTTATCAATGGAGAGTTTGTTGATGCAGCCGGAGGAAAGACCTACAAGACCATCAACCCTGCCGATGGCACGGTGAGAGACAAAGATTCAGAGTGGACCTCTGTCAAATAACATTTATCTCAAATGTTAAACACCCAGCGGTCTTCATTTTTGCACATTTTCAGTAATCCTTGCATTTACACAGCAATGGAAGAGGCCGAGGCCGAGTTTAATCAGTTTCTAGATACAAGATGTGATAAGATTTTGGTTGATATGAGTATTCCTAATAAAGCCATGTAACTGTGGGTTTTGCAGGCCATATGCGAGGTGTCCCTGGCACAGATAAGTGATGTGGACACAGCTGTGGCCGCTGCCAAGGAGGCCTTTGAAGAGGGGGAGTGGGGCAAGATGAACCCAAGAGACAGAGGCAGACTCATCTACAAGTCAGTGCACGAGTTTATGGCAGAATATACTCACACTTC